GTTAATTCCTGTTGTAACCAATGAATCAACACTTGGTTGATTTGAAAAAAAAACAGACTCTAGCTGCAGAAAAATGCAGTTTAGTTGCTAAATAATATTTGGTGACTTAAAGTGGGATGTTTGTAAGGAATCAGTATCTTGGTAATATATACAGAATTAAGCTGGTTCCAATTCTTAATACATTGAGTGAGAATTCTATAAGTGGGAAGACATTTTCCTCCACTTGCCACCCTTTTGTGTTTGTTAATTTTCTGCAGCTGAATAAATCTTGATTTGATTTTAAAAGCTGTGTCTAGATGAATCCTTGACTGGTCAGTGGTTGAAGTCACATGAATACCTTTGGCTCCGTTTGGGATGTTTAAGGGCTTCTAACTCGGTCATCATAGTCTTTTTAGACTTTAAAAATGTCCTGGCTAGGAGAGAATAGCATCTGAAGGCCACTTGCAAGTTCATTCATTCATCCATCCACTTAGCAAACATGAGATTTAAATGGGGGATCAGAGAGGAAACCTCATATATGATGTTTAATGTTAAAAAAAATGACATACAATGTAATAAAATTGTCACCAGCTTAGTACATTTTCAGGTGTTCAGTGTTGTGGTTTAATTTTATTGCAGTTCTGAGTTTTGACTTACCACATTTCAGAGCTATTTCTGCCCAAAATATTATTCTGCTCACCAAATAAAAGGATGGGATTTTTTTTGGAAGTTAATCTAGTCACAGTGTACTTAAGCAACTGTAGTTTTAATTGTTTGCATTTTATGTTAAGAGATATCAGAGAGAAGTGAATGTTTTTGTCTTTTAAAAAGATAAAAGTGACTGAAGTTGAGCTCATCTTCTATTACTAAATGCAGATATCCATATAATTTTGGGCAACAATATTAAATAGTTTTTTTTTTTAGCTTTCCACTCTATAGCTTGGGGATTTAGTGGAAAGGAAAGGAAATCTAGCTTATATGCTTATACTGGCTTATATAAATTGCAGTGAATTCAATGTACTCTCCTGGGTAGGTCTGCTATGAGGCTCATTATTTGAGAAGTTGGACTGTGAGGAATGACTTATCTACTTACAGAATACTAGAATAACAAAGTTGGAAGAGACTATTTCAGACAAATGGTTGTCCAATCTCTTCTTATTTGGGAGTAGTTTACTTTTTTGGGAGTAAACTACTTTTTACTACTTTTGGAAGTAAATAAGTAGTTTATTTATTTGGGAGTAGTTTACTTTTTACAATTATAACCTGCTACCTTAAAGAGTGCTGTTCGGGGCTTACATTTATTTTTATTGATTACATTTATATGCAGCTCTGATCAATAATTTTTTTGAAAAAATACAGAAGGCCCTTTAAACTTGAGACATGATTGTCCAAAGTGCAGGGAAGAGTATGGTGGGTAGAATGTTGGACCGGGAGTTGTAAAATGTGACCATGTTCCCACTTTATTTCATGGAGTTTGTTGGGTGGCAATCACCTAGCCTTTAAACCCAATTTACCTCTTAGGGTGGCTGCTGGGGGTGTAAAATAAAGGCAGAAACCACACTATCACCTTAAGAAAAGGCGTGCAATAAGTAATCCTTACATATGCTAAAAGGCATATACAGGTAGTCCTCGGCTTATAACAGCTTGTTCAAAATTACAGTGACCGTTCAAAATTACAGTGGCACTGAAAAATGTGACTTATGACCGTTTTTCACAGTTACGACCTTTGCAGCATCCCCATGATCATGTGATTCAAAATTCAGATGCTTAGCAATAGATTCATATTTATGACTTTTGCAGCATCCTGGGGTCATGTGATCAAAGTCAACGAGGAAGCCCGATTCACTTAACAACTGGGTTACTAACTTACCAACTGCAATTATTCACTTAACAACTGTGGCAAGAAAAGTCATGAAATGGGGGAAAACTCACTTAACAAATGTCTTACTTTACAGAAATTTTGGGCTGATTTGTGGCCGGAAGTTGAGGACTATCTGTATTGACTTTTATTTCTAACTCAGTCTTGAAAGAAAACTAGGAATCGATGCATGACTTGAGGTTGGCATCGCTGGTGGAATATTTTTGTTTTCATCCTCAAGAGTCCTTGTTATAACCCAATTTGTTTTCTGTGGGGGCACAGAGCTTCTGTTTATGGGCTTGGGGACCAATCACCATCCAACAGGGAATCCAGTTTATGAAACTTGCAAAAAAAAAAAAAAAACAGGTAGTCCTCAAGTTACGACCACAATTGAGCCCCAAATTTATGTTGCTAAGTGAAACATTTATTAAGTGAATTTTGCCCTATTTTATGACTTTTCTTGCTACAGTTGTTAAGTGAATCACTGTAGTTGTTAAACTAGTAACACGGTTGCTAAGTGAATCTGGATTCCCCATTGACTGCTTGTCAGAAGGGCGCAAAAGCTGATTACATGATTCCAGGACACTGCAACCGTCATAAATATGAGTCAGTTGCCAAGCATCTGAATTCTGATCATGTGGCCAGGGGTCATAAGTGTGAAAAACGGTCATAAGTCACTATTTTGAGTGCCATTGTGACTTTGAATGGTCACTAAATGAACTGTTGTAAGTTGAAGACTTAATTGGGGCTGTGCAAACGATGATCAATGATCCCCTCCAAGAAAAAGCTTTCGACAGCGGCTGCAAACCATGACTGGGTTCACACACACGTAGTGTTCAAGCCAACAGTGTGGCTTGCTTGGCCAATTTGGCTTGTGAATTTGGTCATTTGAACAAATTCATGGCTTACCGTCTAGCATGTTAGGTAAACCTAGCTGTGATTTATTGTGTGAACCAAACCCAGTGTAGCTTATCCAGCAGGCCTCAGGGAAGCAAACATGCCATAAAAACCCATGTGCCTGTGCTGGGGAGAATCCTTTTACCTGCATCCTTGAGCTTTGGGGAAGATTTACTATCCTCCACAGCTGGTGTGAAAAATGAACGGGCCAATGCCAAAGGAGAGAGAAAGTGCCATTCCCTGCTCTTCATTTCAGCTGTCACTGCATATATCAAGCCTTTGGCCATTCCCTTCCTTTGTCTTAGGGGACCTTCTTTTGTTCTTCGTGGCATTAGAGAGCTGAAATAATGGGGGTGGGGAGGAGGGGTGAAATCTAATCTGCACAGTCCTTTTGTTGCAGCTGATTCAGCAGGTTCAGATTCTAATTTTTAGAAAGAGACTTCCAGTTGTGGGATATGTATGATGATCAAAACACAGCTGAGAAGCACAGCTACACAATCTGCTATTGGAAGCTCCTTTGTTCGAACCTTAAACATATTCCTCTCTTTTGCTTCCTCTGCAAAATATGTGAACTGGTGAAGCAGTGGTTTTTATATCTGCAGCTGCTGGGATGCTGCCTTGGGCCTTTGTGGGTGGGTATGTCGGTTTGAATATATTAGCAGTTTTATAGTTCAGACAGGAAAGGTCTTTATTCTTCACATAGGTACATGATAAGCATGTGCATTATGCAGCTACATTAAAACCAGGTTTGAAGGTTTGACTTATATGCAAATTAGTCTTATATTGTTGCAGTGTGGGTGGTTCTGATTTAGATGTTTAAACAGCTATGCCCTGACAGGCCATTCCATTCCACCCAGTGCAGATTTTTTCTGATTTTCCAGAGCCGCCTCATACGTACCCTACTAATATTTGATAGAGCTGGGTGGGAGGAAGGGCAGTAGAGGGTCTCTATATGCTTCCCATTAAAAAAAAATCCTTCCATTGAATACAGGAGACCCTGCTGCTATCTGCCCACCTGCCCATTTCTTGTTTGCATATGAGTGTTTTTGAATGTCCCTCCTGATGTTTTCTAGCAGAAGGAATGATTGACACATATCCATATCTATTATCCTAGGTGCATTTGTTGTCAATGAACTGAATTTAAAAACATATACTGTGACTTTCCTTTCCTTTGTGTAGACTTTCAAATAGACTTTGAAAGTTATTGCAGTGATTAAATCCCAAAGGTGTTTTTTCAAGAGGCAACTGGACTTCCTTGTTTTTCTTTGAAGATGTTTTGCTTCTCATCCAAGAAGCTTCTTCAGTTCTGACTGAATAGTGGGGGAATGGAAGGATTTATATTCCTTGCAGACAGCTGGGCATTTGCATTCTTTTAGAAAGCCATTGAGGCCACTTGGAGGTTTATCTGTGCCCTCAGGGTCACCCCAGTAGTGCAAATGGGTGTGGAGCTTCTTGAAAACAGCAGAAAGGAAAAGATTGTGTTGTGGTTGTTGTGGCACTGTGCTTTCTGCAGGAAGTTGCACTGTAAAAGAATGCAAATGACCAGCTGTCTGCAAGGAATATAAATCCTTCCATTCCCGCTCAGAGCTGAAAAAGCTTCTTGGGTGAGAAGCAAAAGATCTTCAAGGGAAAAACCCAAAGGAAGTCCAGTTGCCTCTTGAAAAAAAAAAAAAAAAAAAAAAGCACCTTTGGGACAACCATGACTCGGATGACTTGAGAATCAACATAGACATTCAGTAATTGAACTTTTATCCTATCTCTACTCCCTGCCTACTGTGGAAGTTCACGGATTCCTCCGTGCCTGCCTTGTGTGCCTGCTTCTGAGATTGCGAGCGTGTTCAGAGGCCGTGTGGATTTTCCCTACTTTGCCAAGTTTGAGCAAAGCGTATTTAGGACATGCCAAGGGAGACTTGCAAGAAGCTTCACTCTCATAAACTCGGCTTCTGGCGATCCCCTCCTCGCCCCCATCGGGCCTCTCTCTCTCTCTGCCCCCTTCTGTCTGTCTGTCTGTCTGTCTCCCCCTCTCTCCCCTTCTCTGTCCCAATCTCTCTTTCTCTCTCTTCCCCTCTCCGCTATATCTGTCACTCTCTGTGTGTGTCTCTTTCTCCCCCCCTCTGTCTGTGTCTCTTTCTGTCTCTCCGCCCCCCCCTTCTCTCTCGCACCGCTGGAGGGGGGGGGGAGAGCCTCTAACGCGGGCTCCCTCCCCTTCGAAAAACCCCAGCCCCTCCCTCCCTCCCCCGCACTTCCGATCTCGCGACAGCTGCGGCCTCGTTAAAATGGCTACAATGTAACCCTCTTTTTCCGCCTTGGATGCTGGTGGAGTCGCGGCTGATCTCTCTCCCCCCCTCCCCGACCCCAGGACTTTTTTTTTTTTTAAACCTCCCCTCCCTCCCTCCCTCCCCCTTTTTCAATAGATAATCATTCTTCTGGGAAAGCAGCAACGTCTGAGCGAGACCCGGCCAGCACTCCCTGCCGACTGGAGAAATGGTAGGTGGGCTGTTGGCGAAGCCAAAGGGGTGTGTGTGTGTGTGTGTGTGTGTGTGTGTGTGGTTCTTTTCAAAACATCGTGGTCTTTTAGCGTCTCTCTCTCTGTCTCATGTCCCTCTTTGGGTCTAGCGTATCTCCCATTTCATGGTGGTTGTGTGTGTGGCTGTTTATGGCTTGGTTGGTTTGAAATGCAAGCCACGCTTTCCACATTTTTGCCCCCCGATCGAAGGGAAAAGGGTTTCGCAGTTGTCGGCCGGGGAGTTGTTGCCTGGGGAAATTCTCCAAAAAAGGCCCGGAGGAGGAGAGAGGGTCAAGGCGTCTGGAAAGCTGGCTGGTTTCTTTCGGTCCGATCCGAGGCAAATGGCTGGGCTAGGGAAGGTTTCAAAGGCTTTGCTGCGTCGGGGCAGGGCAGAAGAGAAGAGAGATCTGCCTCTGAATGCGGACGCAACAGTTTGAGGATATTTACATTTTTGCGGGTGTCCCGGATTAAAGCAATGTTTCTTAACCTAAGTCCCTTTCAGATATGTGGACTTCAACTCCCAGAATTCCCCAGACAGAGTTCCTCAGACAGACAGACAGGCGCCCGATGGGGGGTGAGGAGGCATTCGCAGCCTGGGGAATTCTGGGAGTTGAAGTCCACACATCTGAAAGGGACTTAGGTTAAGAAACAATGAATTAGTTGTCCTTTCCTACCAGGGCTGGTGTCTGAATGTGCCCTCAGCCTTCCTAAAATAACACCGTCTTTTTGCACACTAGTGAAAACTTGGTATTTGTTCCTGGTTTAATTTTTAATGTAGAAAATCTGTTGAGACAATAGGAATATGCACATCACAATTTGCAAAGCTTTGTCTATGGTCTTATACAAGGAGTTAGCAAGGAGATGTTAAAAGGAGAGGTTTTTTTCCCCCTCTTTAATCTTTTCCAAGTTGAATAATTCAAGGAAACTGCTTGCAGACAGCTTTGTGGCTAGAACAGATTTGAATTGCAGGAATAAGTCACTCACCACAGTGTTACTTCGTTTCTGTAGATGAATTGGCTTGTAGTGCTACTCCTTTGAATCCAGAGGCCAATGGAAATTTTAATTCACTTTTCCTAATTGTAAAGTTCTGGTCATCTGGTCATCATTTGCTGGACCATTTTTCCTCCCTTACTGATGCTGTGTTTTTGTTTCTTGTTTTATATTTTATTGACCCTAACATGAGTTTTATGATGTAATTCCTTGGGAAATCACTATGGGTAAAATTGTGCAAGACTATATTCTTAGTTTATGGAGTATAACCTTGTCCAATGGGGTGACCTCAGTCTGTATTGATTAATCCCATTATACTCTGCATCATTGGCCATGCTGCTTTAGATCTTATGGGAGTTGAAGTCCAATGTATTTGGATGGCATCAGGTTGATGAAATCTAACCTACTTAACTTAAAGCTTAATTGGAAAGTTCAGGCAACTTGGCAGGAAACTCTTTTTTTAGTTCCTGTATTCACGCCCAGAGAGGTGTGATATACAGTATATATTAACACAGACAAACACATACTTATACTAACCCTGCTGCTCCAGAGGCAGATCTGTGTCATATAATAATGCAATCCCAGTACCAAAACAGCATTATGCAGATACCAATAAGAGAACATATTCAGTTGCTTTGTTGCTGACCAGGAAAATTCCATTGCGTGCCGGAGGAATTGCAAAGCAAGATGCCAGTGTGAAATAGCTGTTTTATTCTATTAATTTGAAACTAAATAGAGATGGATGCGCAGAGATGCATGGCACACGGGGGATCTCGCACGCATGCACAGAGGTGCGTGGTGCTTGGGGGGGTTGCACGTGCATGTGCAGGGGGCATGGGGGAGGGGCCCATGCGCATTGCCTTCTGGGTGCTGGCATGCGAACGTGCATGCAATTTTCAGCACAGGAGCTCAAAAAAGTTTAGCTACCACTGGTATAGAGCATGCATGGTGGTGGTGGGGGGCCAGTCATTCTCTTTCAACACTAGAAAGAGAGCAATGGTAAAGCACTTCTGAAAAACCTTGCCAAGGGAACTAGTCCAGGCAGATGCTAGTAGACAGTGTTAACTTGAAAACACCAAATAAATAGGAATTAATATTGGGAAAGCAGGAAGAACAGAATGGCTGCAGGAAGTAAACAAGGAATAAAATCTTGTCCTTGCTGGGTTTTCTTCCACAGTTGTAACCTTATAATATTGCCTTTTCTTAATCATCTACGATTAAGGATCAGAGTTAATTCTAGTCCTAGTTTTGTTAAAGATATGGAGCGAGGGAAGGTGCAGTGTTTTGCTATTGGGTTTTGCTTTGATTACATGGCTCCCTAAAAGAGGAAGCACAGAGAGAGATGGGGGGGGGGGGAACGGGACACACCCAGACACACAATATGAAAGAATCCTGTGTTAGTATTTGCTTGTCTCTCCATCCGCGCCTTAGATGAATTATTTTCTTATTCATTGTAAACAGCATTTGTAACCCACCCACTCTAGTCCCAAAGGATTATGGGCAATGTGCAACATATTAAAAACTAAATTTTAAACTCAAGCCAAACACAAAGTCCAAATAAAGTGGTGCCTTGCTACTCAACTGCTTTGAAACTTATTGAATTTGGTACTTGGCGCACTTTGATGCAAGAAGTTTGTGCTGGTACTCAACACACCAGCTAGAACTCGTGTGTCATTTTCGGCTGCCTTGTGACTCACTACATTATTCCTTATGGGAAAAAAAGTTGTTTGGTACTCATTATTTTTGGTACTCATCCCACCTCCAGGAACCAATTAATAATGAGTACCAAGGTACCACTGTAAAATAATGTGGATGGAATTTGTCTTCATTACTTGTTACTGTGCCCTCAGAAATTTAATTGATGTGGTTAGGATTAGTGTTCGTTAAAACTAGTTTGTTCTCCCCTTCTTCTTTTCTCCCTATAGCAAACATACAGTAGATCAAAGAATACCACATTGTTGAGGTTTCTTAAATTGATTTATGCCTCTGAGTCAGTCTTGATTCTTGATAGTCTGCATAAGTACAGTATTTTTGGCAAGATTTTGGCAGAAAGACTGCTTCCTACCTAGGGCTGAGAGAAAATGACTGGCCCAGGATCACCCAGCCAGCTTTGTGCCTTAACTGGGATTAGAACCCATAGTCACCTGGGTTCTAATCTAGACTGATGCCTTAACCCAGGGGTGTCAAACTCAAGGCTCGTGGGCCTCATCTGGCCCGTGGGGGTGCATAGATCTGGCCCGTGGGGAGACTGCGAAGAATCGGCCCATGGTGCCTCTGCCAGCAAAAACGGAGCTCGGGAGGGCCGCATGCAGCCATCCCAGTTCTGTTTTCGGCCACAATCACCTCCTGAAGCCCTCTGCCAGCAAAAATGGAGCTTCCCCCCCCTCCGCCCTCGTCCATTTTTGCTGGCAAAGGGCTGTAGGAGGCTGTCAAGGCCAAAAATGGGTCCCAGGAGCCCATTTTCACTGGCAGAGCACTCGGGCCACCACAGCCCCCCCCCCCGACACGAGTGATGCCATGCTGGACAGGCCCCCTGGCCTCGCCCCCCCCAGCCCCTCCCCAAGTCAAACACCGTCCTGATGTCGCCCTCAGTGAAATTGAGTTTGACACCCCTGCCTCAACCACTCCCTCAAACGGGATTTCTTTTCCAATTTCTTTCCTGAAATTAGATTTTCTGATTTTG